TGTCTTTATTTAGGGTACTGTTATTTTGCCAGACACAGACATATTTTTGATATAGAAAAACCTTCAAAGACCTCTGAGAAGTTTCAGTGAACAGCCTAATATTATCCATTAGTGTGATTATCTGTGTACAGGAGTGAGGATACATTTTCAATAGTGTGATATCCATTCACATAAGTGACTTTTGAAGATGAGAACTACATTTTTAGGCACTTTTGACTTCAGAAATCAAGGTGTACTTGAAGGGCTTTTTGAAATGTAGACTTTTTAAATGTGCTATCATAGTACATGATACATACCAAGATAGAAGAGAACTCTTAAATACTGTTGTGCAGCTAATTTATATTGTTTCATTTACTATTATGTAAGGATTGAAAGAAAGAATTAGATAAGAAAATGCCACTGGATTTCTATTGACCCTAATAACAGTAGGGACTCTATAGTAAAATGAAGAGATCTGGATAATTTTTTTTTTTTTCCCTAGCACTAAAATTTGATTTGAAAATCTCTCTACAAGTGGTGGAATGTGTTTGGAAGTTGCTGTATTTTAAATCAAATTTTCCAGACACACTGCTGCTTGTTTTGAGTAAGAATGGAACCTTCTATGATGGCAAAGTCACTTGCTATATAGAATTATAAGCCAATGTATCTTGTAGTGAGCTGCTTTAGCTTAAATAATGTATCAGTCAATAAAAGAACAGGTTGTTCTATGGATTTGTGAATGGGTTTTTCTCAGCTCTGTTTCTTGAAGCTGAATTCTGTGGTGTCTAATCTGTGGAGAAGTTTCTGTATTCCTTTACATCTGCCACTCTGTCTCTTGATTTCTTCCATGTTTTTTTCCCTCTTCCATTAAGGAATAAGCTGTTCAGTTTTTATTAATGCCTTCTCAGTCATGTATTCACAGCATCTGCCCCTTGTCTGCTCAAGATCCCATTTTCATTAAACTTGCAGGGAATATACTGAGATATTTCCTCCTGTGAAATAAGTTTCCTGTGCCAACTAATCAGCAGCTCAGTCATTTCTGTGGATCAGGACACATAAATGGACGAGCTTAGAAAGTGGACTTAGGCAATATTCGCAATAATAGGGCTGGTGTTGTACCTCATAAAGCACAAACTGCACTGCTGGTACTGTTAACACCATGAGGGGGAGAATTGTTTGTGCAATGGGTTCTCACAAGGTTTGTCCATATTTTGGAACTGCTTGCAAATATGGTGAGAAGAATTGCTAATAATGCTATTTGAATATGTAATTAGCGGGTTGATATAACCCACAGTTACTTGCATCATTTTTTTTTCTGTTTTCCTGGTACATTCATAAGCATTGTTAACCATCACTCTTAGGAATCATGCATTGCTGCTTTCTAAATTATTTGTGGCAGAACTGTTGCTGATAATCAAAAAATGGGAGGGAAAAGATGCCGTGTTTATTTAATTATCTTTAAGCATTGGGGTCTTGCTGGATCAGAGGTTCTAGAAACAGGATCTAAGCTGTTCAGATGCAGTGAGAGAATAGTGTAGGAAACCCTCTGTTCTCATGGTTGCTGTAGTCCTGGTGAGACCAAAGTGTGATGGGATTTTCTGCTCTCTGCCCATGAAAGGACAGCTTAAACTTGAGCCCAGATGTGGCTCCCATGCACAGAATATCTCAGTAGAGCTGCTTCAGTCATGCTTTATTTTCAGCTGGAAAGAGAGGGTGCTGCTGGAGCACTCCGTGCCTCAGTGCATGTTTGTAATTTTCTGGAGCTCTGGGGTTAGCAGGTAACCTTGCCTCTGTAGCCCCTGGAAAATAATGAAGGCTGATTACCTGATTGGTTTTGTGCTGAGTGGTGCTTACAAGGTGCAAGGGTGGTCTCAGCTGAGAAGAGAGCAGGGACAAGATCTTCAGAGAGTCTGACTTTGTACACAGGTGGAAGATAACAAATAGAGCTTGAGGCCAGTACCTGCTGCACTGCTTCCCTGCTTATCACCAGTCACTGATGGGCAGCTTTTATCCATGATGCTGGAGATTCACAGAGGCTGCAGTCTGTGCTCTTTGGTAGGTTCTGTGTTCAGATCATTAATATAAGCCCTAATTAAGTGTTCATTCAGGTGCACACTGGCCTCAGGTGAGCTAAAACACATTAAAGCCACCTGTGAAAGGCCCCTGTTTCTTGTTGCTTCTTTTCTTTTTCCTCAGCAAATAGTCATGCTCAGATTGCTTATTTTGGACCCAATATCTGCCAGTAGGTTTGTGGCCAAAGTCCCACAGTAAAGTTTGTCTGAAATGTGGAACAGAGAGCTGGGCACTGTTACCAGTGTGCCAGTGCAAAAGGGAAATGTTTCCTCTGTCACATCTCAGAGAAGGTGCAGTAAAATGGAGAAGCAGCTTTGAGTTTTCCCCTTGGAGCCAAACTGAGTTCTACAGACTGTTGCAGTCTGTCTCTTCACTGCTTCAGCCATATCATCTTTAAAAGGCAATTTAATGGTGCCTGGTGGTGTGTGGAGTTTACAGACCTAAACTGTCCCCAGGTACACGACAGGGCCTTTGGTGAAGCAGCAGGTGTCTCACATTAGATTAAATTGAGTCCAGACTGTTTTATGGGGTGATTTGATATACTGAATTGGAACAGTCACATTTTTTAAGGTAACTCCAAAAAGTGAGGACTTAAGCAGCCATAAATAACTAAAGGGTTAACAGTGGGCACCAGCATCTGTTTTCAAGGGTTCTCTGTTTCCAGTTTGTTCTGAGATGTTTATGGCTTTGGGAGAGGGACAATACATACATCCAAAATCATAAGGAGCAGATTTTTCTGTTGGATTGTTTCGCAATCTAAAATAATCCATTCATTTGAATAGATGTGATTTACCTGAAGGAATTAATCTACAATCTTCTGCCTTGTAAAAAAATATGCAGAACTTTCTTTGGCTTCTTTGTGCTTGGACAATTTATGTCTGGTAAAGTGTTTACGTATTTAAGATGAAAATGGAATCAACAATGCACATTTATTGTTGATATAGTTGTGCTGTCACTGTTGTAAAGTTAAAAAGCAGCAATTATAGCTGAAATCTGAAAGCTGTTTTGTAATTTCACGTGTGACACAACTTCTTACTAGAGATTGTAGCCATGGCAGCAGTGCTTGCTGCACTTTGTGAATAGCAGACGTGTAGTTACTTTCTCCCACTAAAACTGAGGAATTTAATAGTTTTCGTTTTTTTTTTAAGTGCAAAGTTTTTAAAACTCTTTAAAAGAAAAAATAATATGTATTTCCTGTTTTGTGTGCTACTAAATAAACCAGGGATTAATAAAAAGATACTGGATATGGAGGCAGGAAAAGGCAATAATTATTTTAAATCCTGCCTGTTACATCATTTAGCTATGATGAGTCCCTAGTTCTCCCACCCTAGTTTTTGTGCAATCAAATCCTGTCTGAATATCTGAATAAAAACATGAATTGAAAACAGAAAAAAAACATAATAAATGAACCTACCATTTGGGCAATCCCTTTTCCTGCATTACATTTAAGGTCTGGAATATATTTTTTGCATCTGAGCTAATCACCTCTCATTCTCCTGCTCACCTGACTAGAGTTCTCTCAAAGAATCCCTTTGATCTGTGGATTGCTTGTTTGTGTAAGATAGGTAGGATTAAGTGACTCACAGGTTCAACTTTCATCTGCTTATTTGAATTCAAGATATCTGAATGCAAGATGAGTGTCAAGGTCTTGGCAAAGCACAGTATTAGATATATTTACTTACAGAAATGGCAAATAGTACTTTGCTATTTTTAGCATATTGCAAATACTAGGCTGCTATTTTTATATTTTTTTTCTGTTTTAGCTGTTCAGTAAAACAGAACTGAACACCAAATGAGGCTCAGACTGAATGCCATTTATTCATGTAATTTACATACTTGTAAAGCCACAAAGAACTGTGCATAAACATTCCTTAATACCAGCAGCTAGGAGATAAATTGAAAATTATATACATGCACAAGAAGAAAAAGAAGGTTCTAAAATGTAGAAGGAAGAAGACAATTGAACTGAGAAACAGAGGAGTAGTAAAAAGTCCTCAGGTTCCTGTGAAATCAGAGTTGTGTAGAAACATCAGATACCTGCAGTCATTCCTCAGACCATTTGGAGACCTTTGGAAAGTCATCAGTAAGGCAGCCCAGTGAATAGTAAGATAATTCTTAAATACCTGAATTACTTCTGTCTGAAAAATTAATATAGCTTTGTATCACTGAGCTTTGTATCAATTCCAAATATGCAGAGCATTACACAGAAAGGTCATCTCATTTCATGGGGGTATTTGCCACATTACAATTTGATTTTGGCCATATCAGAATCAGATCCTCTTTATTTTTCACTTCTCTATGAAAGAAACAACTGAGGTTTTCCAGAAAAGCTGCTGCAGTTTATGGTACTTGGATGCTTTTGTCCTTGACTTTGGGGAAGTTTGCTTGATATTCCGGCCCAGATCTGTGGATATTTGGAAACTAATTGCCAGTTCCAGCTCAAACTTTGTTGTTATAATGAGACAAAATAAAACCTATTTGTCTGACAGGAGGCAGATCCAAACATTTGAGTAAGATAGACTGGAGTGTTAAATTTAATTTTATTTTTTTTAATGTTCTGTAAACTTCTGTTTTCTCTCTTAACTGTAGAGTAAATGTGTCCAGAAATCCTGATGCCAGTGCAGGCAAACGTTCAGTGTGTGCTGTGTCCTTGAAGAGGTAAACTAAGCAAGAACATCTTACAGATAATAACATGGAAAATAGGGAAGGTCAACTCAAGATGTTTTAGTGACATTATTTTCAAAACTGAGGCATTTTCAGGGTGGTGTTTATATCATAGGAAAACCTGTTAAGGTGCTAGAAGCACTTTGGCAGTGCAGCTTGGCACAGAGCAATCTGTGGTGAGAACGTGGTGCATGGGAAAGCCTCCATCTCATCAGTAATTTAAAAAATGTTGTTTTTTGAGACTGCTGTTGTTAATGGTCACCTGTGTTTCTGTGTCCCCTCAGCTTTCTCTGCTGGAAGGTGCAGGGTTTGGTGGTGTTCTCGTTTACACTGATCCTTGTGACTTGCCAAAGACTGCAGACCTTGCTGACAAAGCCTTTATGGTCTCCTTGAACAGCGGGGGAGATCCATCCACACCTGGTTATGCCAGCATTGGTAAGTACTGGTCAGGGCATTTTAATTCTCTGCAGATTGTAAAAATGGGAGTTAAAACACTAAACCAAATCTTGATGGCAAGAGAGGCTCTGAGTAAGGAAATACTGTGTAATACAGCAGGGCTTAAAGGATGGAATCCAGTCTCAAAAGTGCTTTAAATTCTTGGCACAAAGTCTGCACTCTCAATAGTTTATTGTGTTTTGTATTTGAGTATTCACACACTGAACCATTATTACTACCTGTTTTTTCTTATCCCATGAACAAAAGCCAAGACTGAAGTACTGATCCAGGATCTGTCCCCACTGAAAGAATTATTCCCTTCATTCTGTCTTCCTCTTTCATAGTAACAGAAATTAAAATATTTGGTCACAAGGTACAAGAGAAATATGATTAGATATTTATATTTTTAAAGTATTAAGAGAAAATAATGTTTATAGTATCTGTATGCTACTATCACTTGAATAGGGTGTGTTCATTTAGCCTTGCCTAGATAGATTTGGTTATTAATTATGCTTCTCTAAATACATGTATTTTTGAAAGGTGGGAAATACAGATTTGATTTCAAGGAACAACATGGTCTCAAGAGACAACATCATCTTATATAATTTTATGTGGGATGTTTTTGAAGCAATGTTAACAATAAATAGAAGCAGCAGCATATTTGACTTGTATGTGCTGCTTAAATCTCCATTCTGGCAGTTCAGTGAGTGTGTGTTCTGCTTCTCTGCAGCTTTTTCAGCTTTACAGCCCTTTTTACTATCTAACTATTTGGAAATGTATTAAGCAGCAGTCTATGATTTTGTGACAAGGCTTCATCAAGAATATTTTGTCCGGTTACTGGCTCAGACATCTAAAGTTTGACTTGAATTGGCACTAAATCAACTGAGGCAACGTGGAGATACGTCATGCCTAGAATGGCAGAAAATAGAAATATTTGCCTGGTTGTCAAAGAAGGGTGTTAGCTATTCACAGCATGAATGCCTTGACAGCTCAGTGGGAAAGAAATTGCACATTTTCTCAGTGTCTCAGTGTACCTGACCCAGTGTTCTTAAAAGTGCCCTGGGAGCTACAGAGGTAAATATAACACTCTTCAAGCTTTATTCTTGCTCATTTCATGGAGCTATTTGAAAAACAGTTTGTGGTGTCTCTGTCTGGCTGACTCCTTAATGTTTTATTTACCCTACATGAAAAGTAAAGCTAATTAAAACAGATACACCAACATGAAGATGCCACTTCAGTTTTTAAACCTTATGTGTTAGTTTTCTGTCAGTAAATTATCTCATCTGCAGTGTTCATTCCAATCTCCAGTTTGGGAAAGAGAGGCTTTAAATTATAGGGACAGTGGTGTTACAAGTGCATTGATGGTTTCTGGTAGAAGCCTTAGTGTGGCTTGTCTGCGGTTTGAAATTTCTGAGCAACATTCATAGACAGAAGCAGGTTATCATGCTTAACATCATTGTTATTTTGATCATTGAGTGCCATGATGAGCTGGGAAGAGCTCACAGGAATACTTGAGAAAACCCTTTTTATTTTCTTACGATTTTGTCACTGGAAGGTAGATCAGATGGAAGTAATTCCAGTGTTTCTGATGATGATTTTGCTTCTCTGGAGACTGTGAATTGACTTGCTTAGAGGTAGCTCATGCCTGGGACAGCCACAAACGCATCTGGACTTCAGGCTTTTCCCTGGGGGATGCACTTGGATGTACAGTGGTTAACCTGCCTTGTGTGGGATAAAAGAGCCAGAGAACCCGGGCTGCCCCTTTCACTTTGATTCACAGACTGTAATAAGCACTACAAGAGATTTTATTGGAAGCTCCTGCCTAAGTTATTGGCATATCTTTGACACCATCTGCACTTCACACTTTGCCAGAAGAACTGTTACTATCACAAGCTCGAGGCTGCTCCTAGCAGCATTCTCCCTTTTACTGGGAAATTCCTGGTAGGATGAGTGATCCAAAGCTAGTCTTGTACTTGGTGAATAAAAGGTAGGAAACTTGGATTTTCTTGCTGCTGCCTTTGTTTCTCCTGTTCTTTTAGTCTGAAGACAAATTTCTCAGTGGTGTCAGAGTACTGGAATGCTTCAGTGTTTTCCTAGAAAAAAAAGTCTTCAGGAAACTGTATAATTTACAGGTCTTTTCTCAAAGTTGACAACATTTTAAAATGGGATTTATGTAATAGTTCTGAGAGAATTTTGGAGTTCTCATGAGGTTTCGGCTCACATTTTCTGTTTCATGAAGATTAAATGCTGCAGTTCTGCATATGAATCATCTTGAATGTATAGAAATAGCTGGAGGATGGGTTTGAGATGCCAACTACCTACAAGCAGAATGATTTTATTGATCTCTGTTTAACAAAGGGGAAAAAGTAATGATGAGAAGGGGAAGTGAACAGCACTTATTTGAAAGTTTCTGCAGCTCTGTTTCATAATTTAATTCTTCTGTTCTTAAGACTCTTCCAATCCTAAGTCCTATCAGTCCTGAAACAATCATAGAATCCTTTGTGAGCATCATTTCTCTCTTTGTGATTCTGACTGCTAAAGACAAGTGTCCTTCATTTTTAAAAATCTTTCTTCTGTGTTCCTGTTTTTGAAATGAAATAGATCCAGGGGGTGGAACTCAAAGAAGTAATCATGCAGGATTAAGAAACTTCCTGAGGAAATAAGAGACTTGTGTAGCAAAACTTGTCTTGAAAATAAAGTTTAGAAGAATAGTGTAAAACTTGAGTGCTTTCCCATCTAGTTTTCTTTTTCCATTTTGACTTTTTGACTGCTGCACTTCCTTTCACCCACCTTCATCTGACAGACACATATTAGATTTCTCCATTGCTAGACTTCAGAGCTGTTTCAAATCAAATTTGTTTCCACACAGGAAATGGCTCAGTAAACAAAAATATGGATAGAATCCATTTGTCAATCCTACTATGTAAATAGAAAAGTGGCATTGTGATAAGCACTAAGAACCCTGCCCATGAGATAAGGTGCCTCATAATGGAATCCCTATCTGTGCAGAGGGGGAATAGAAATTATTTCATGAAGAGTTCAGATGGCATCATAGAAAAGACTGTGAGCTTTTAAATGCTGAAATATAACAGCTGTAAAATACAATCTTATGGTATCAGCTGGAGTTTGAAGTGTAATGTTGTTTTAGGGAATTGTTATGCAGAGGTTATAGCAGTAAGGAAAAAGGGGTGTGTTTGGAAGTCATGCATGGTTCAGGTTATGGTTAACCGCTGGTCATGTGAGCCATATCACAGGAATTTGGGTGAAAAAATCAGTGACACGGGAAATGTGACACTGGAAATCCCTGGAACTGAATAGTGCACATTCTTCAGACAGAAGAATTGACATGAGCTTTCCTCAAACACTGCTGATAGGATTTGATCTCAGAGGCAGGGACAAGGAAGGCAAGGAATTGTTGAGGATTTGATCCACTGCAGGACACAGCTGAGGCCATCAGCAAAGCCAGTGATGCCTCTGGAAGTATATTTAAGAAGGGACAAGGTTGCTGGACAGGCAGGGGAGTGAAACTGAGCCTGGAAAAGGGCAGGGTCACAGTTCTGTTCTAATCTTTTTGGGTTTGTTCCTCACTATCCAAATCTATTTTACCTGACAGTTGCTACACTGTTTTGCCTGTGGTGGTAATTGATAAGTGATCTCTCTGTCTTTATCCTGATCAGTGATCTTTTCGATCTTACTTTCCTCTTACCCTGAAATATAGGGATAATGAGAGTGTAGCTGGGTAGGGTCTGGAGGCTGTCCAAGGTTTACCCACCACACTCAGTTCAACAAAATTTAAACTCCCAATATTCATCATAAAAACCCTGTGGCATTTACCTTTTTAGAAATGTGCCATTCTTTAATTGGGCTTAGCCAGTTCTCCTACAGCAACCACAGGGAACTGCTGCCACTGCTTGGAGTGTGGGTAAGTGGTGCTTGCTGGCATTGAAATGTGTCCCTGCTCATTTTTTAGTCATTCCTGTGATTCTGTAGCTTTGGTGTGCCCTGCCTGATACCTGAGTTTGTCCTTTCTGTCCTTCACTTCATGATATTTTACTCCTCTGAAGCCAGCAGCTGAGCAGAAGTTAGCTGGAGAATAGAACATTGTGTAATGGTTTTAACCATGCATATGCAACATATGTTCTAAAATGGTTTGTTATAAATCATTATGACTTTTTACAAGATGTCCTCAACCCTGGTTTGTCTGTTCTTTTTGAGAACAAAAACACAGTCACAATAATATATTTTCTGTGCTTGCCTCTGTGGCTGTGGAAATTATTCTGGGAATATTTTTTTTCTTTTTCAAAATTTGTGTTTGCTTTCTGCTAGCAGCATTGGATAAATGAAATACAAAGATAATTTGTTGTAACATGACTGTCTACAGTCAGGCTTCTGTGCACTGTGCTTTGATTTTCCTTGAGGGCAGACTGAAGCTGAGGAGAAAGAAAAGCTAAAGTTTGATATTACAATTAGGTGTGTGCATATATGTTTACATGTACTCTTGATTTTATTTTGGACTTACTACATAATTTCAGTGGTTGCCATAAAAATTGCAGAGTTTATCAGACCAACTACACTGCTTCATCTGATATACTGTGTTATTTTCTGTATGAACAAAAATCAGTGCTAATGCAATAGAGAGGCAAGTCTTTGGAAAACACTGGCCTTTGAACAGTGAATGCAACAGGTAATAATTTCAGCAGATTTTCAATAATATCTGTAGCATCAGTGGTTCAAGAGGTGTCTAAATCCATGATCTACCTCTTGAGATTTTTCAGGATGTAATAAAGCAAGTAAGCTTCTATGTAAGTATCAAATTACATACGCTGAGATTTTGGGATTTGTGGGGTTTTTTTTAGCTTTTTCTCCTGTCTGGCTTTCAGTTAGGTTTGCATGTATTTAAAACTGAGAGAATTGGTTGGACATTGAGATATTTTAGGCTCACAAGTTTGAGTGTGTGGACCTCTGTATTGCCTATCAGATATCACTTTATCTTCTACTGC